AATAATCCCTACCTGGAATGTGGTTTGGATGCCTAGCTGAATGGTTCATTCCTAGAATGTGGCTCTGACACCTAACTGAATGGTGACGAGTTGGAGAGGTGGCTCTGATGTCTAGCTAAGTAGTGACGAGCTGGAGAGGTGGCTCTGATGCGACCTGCAAGGACACAATGTCAGAGTGCCTAGGTTGCTTTACCAGGGGTGGGCATTCCGATGCTTAAGTTAGCGAATCACAGATTTTAAGATAGCTAAATGTGAGAGAGCGGGAGAGCTGCGAGAACTAAATTGCGCCTCTCCCCCTTGGGGTTGGAGGTAAGGCCTTTTATATAGGCATTGTTTGGCCTGAGCATCACGCAACACGTTTGGGATCTCTGGGAGGACGTGCCTAACTGCTCCGAAGTTCTCGGAGGTAGTCGTGCATGTAAGCCAATCTTTGCACCTTACTCGATTTCTCCCAAAACATTCGGTGATAGAGGTGACTTTCGAGACACCCAAGAGTGATGGGATGCATGCAGAAATCGATGGCAAGCACGTCTCGTAAGTCGCCAGGTCGGCTAGAGGCAGGTTGCTAGGTTGGCACCAGAGGCAGGTAGCCAAGTTGGCACCAGAGGCAGGTCGCCAAGTCGACGCCAGAGGTTGGTCCCCAGGTCGACGCTAGAGGCAGGTTGTCATGTTGGCGATAGTGCCAGGTCGCTAGCTGGGACTCCATCATTTTGGCTAAGGAAAGTTGTCACCTAGGTGGTTCTGGGTGTCACCTAGTTGTTCTGAGATGCCATGTGTCATGATATTAGTGGAGGGCCGAATCTGCCCTCATTACTTACTTTTTCCCCAAGATGGAATATCCATAGGGGTGGATTCGAGTTGAACCAAGTCAAATACCTGGCTATTTGAGCTCAACTCACCAAAATAGTGTTAGGCTCGAGCTCTGTTAGGCTCATGCTTGAGACTTGAGCTTGAATTCAGCTTGGCTCGACTTAAATTCAACTGCAAGCCAAGCTTCCTATGAAAAATAAAAATTATTTATTATCATACATATAAAAAATAAAAAAATATACATATAAAAATTATTTTTATTTTACATACAAAAATAAGAATTATAAAAATGATTTATATATATATATATTTGTATATATATATATATATATATATGTTATATATACATATATAAATGTATGTATATATGTATGCATTAGGCTCGTGAGCCTGTCAAGCTGAGTTTCATTAGGCTCGAACCCAGCTTGATGAACAAATTAGCCAATATATCAAGCTCAAACTCGACTTTAAGGCTTGTGAAAAACTCGATTGGTTTCCACCCTATATCCATCATTTTCTAATTACTGCTGTATAACCTTATAATTAAGTGATCATAAACCAGTTGGTGCTTCAAACACGTCATACTGAGAGTAGAAAATCTTATTTATCTTATCAGGAGTTTTTTTTTTCTTTTATTTTTATGCCGGATCTGCACAGCCATTTTAAATAGGGAACCATATATAGGGTCTATTAGTTTGGGCTCCACCCAAACTAAATCTGGATATCCATTAAGCCACTCGTGAATGTAAATTGTAAAAGCCGAACTCTATGTGGTGGCGTTGCCTCTAAATTCTAAAATCTGAATTGGCTAAGAGCCAGAGGAGCTCTCATATATCATATTATAATGCTTGGAAAAGAACTTCACTCGGTGATGAGCATCTCATCTGCATAGAAAGTGATCACCCCATTGAGGAGGTCGTCAATTTCCTATTCGTGAATTTTCTGTGGAGACTACGATGGATTGTGAACAGAGTGCTGGATTGTCTTACCAACTTTCAATTCCTGCTTGGTACAGCATGCCGGCCCCATGACAATGCAACTTCATACCTCGCTGTTTTTAAGTACAACAACATCGTCGACTTCACATAGAATTCGGCTTCTATCAGGACAAATCGGTGCTCGCACCGTTTGATTAGTCCCTTACAACTTTGCATTGGGAATATCTTTTATGACTACGGTGATATTCCTAATGCAAGGCTATAAAAGCTGTTGGAACAGATTTTGCTCTGACTGAAGTCGGATTACTTCACATAATTCTTCTTTCCTACCTAAGTCATTTTATTATTGCTAATCAACTGTGTAATGATACTTTGAGTTGAAGTAAAACTATTGCCTTTTTGGCTTAAAAAAATATTTATTGTTGGAAAATTTTGTTTCTTGATTTTATCATGATACATGACTAATTTAGCAGTTAGCTAGTCAGAAGACTGAAATTCTTAAATGGTGTACCTAAAAAAACCTTGTCCCAACTAATTAAGACAGCTTTAAGTTTAAGGTGGATTAATTAATTAATTAACCTGGATCTTTTTCTATGAAATGTTTAATTAGCTCGTTGGTCTCTCTGAACCTAACTAGCCTGCATGATAGCTGAATAGATTATTTTATGGACAAGTTGGGCTCCCAACCAAGTGGGCCTTAGTGTAACCCAAATGTGTATGAAAACATAATTTGTTAAGAGGTTCCATCTAAGATCCAAATCTTGGTTATAAACAATTGTCTGAGGCTGAGCTTATATTAGTTGGGAAATAAGGTCTCTAACCAACAAACCTCTTGTCCATTCAATATGCAGTACTGTGGAACCCATCAAACTGTTCATCAGGTTGATGTAGAAGGTGGGCCATAGAATTCATTAATGATCTCCAGTCTTGGATGTGATTTGGAGGTTGAAAATTGGAGAATATTCTGTAGACATTTGTCCATGTAAGTAAAGCTCAGTCGGTGCTTCACTAGGAATGTTTCTTTCCTAGTGTGGCTCAGATCCAGATTATATAAGCAAGGAACCCCAAAGCTATGAAGTCCTTTTAGTAAAAGTTTGTAAAGCCAAAACTAAGGCTTATATGAACCTAAAAATCAACCTTTCCAGTGAAGATAGTTTTTCCGAAATGATACTATTATAGAAGCTCAATCACGGGAGAAGCCCTCGCAAATGCTTTAGGAAGGGCTGTGGAGTGATTGGAACTTGGAATTTGGAACCCATTTTTAGGAGTGTTCATAGTTTGGTTAATCAAATTGTGGGTCATTTTTTAATTTGAATCAGTCTTTCGATTTTTGAAAATTGAAAATTAAAATTAGATCGAAACCAATCGATTAACCAATTGTCAATTTGATTCTTTGGTTTATCAGTTTTTTGAATTAATAATTTATTGTCAATGAATATATAATTTTATAATATAAGTACTAAAAATATGTATAATATATTATATTATATTTTATATATTTATCGATTGATTCAATTAATCGTCATATTTTCATATTGGTTGAACCGATCATTTCAGTTATTAGCACCCCCTACCCACCCCTACGGTGATGGGAGCCATTGTAAACTCCTATTTGGAGTTCCAAATCCATATCCGATTGAAATAATTGGATCAAGTAACCCGTCAAATATATAGAATTGTTCTTAATCCGATCAAAATTTCCGAACCGTTGACAGCCACCAGACATTTTTTTTTTTTTTTCTTATTGATAGTAAGGCCAATAGTATCTGGTTGAACTGTTGAGTGTTGACGGTGATCCTTCTTAAGGGAAAATGATCAATCGACCCAGATCAGAATTTTATAGCCGTAAAGTACAAAGGGAATGCATCTGACTGTGAATTGATATCAAATTTATGAACTTATAAGGAAAAGAGGGTTAATAGTAGGGGTGCTGAAATTTAGAATTCTACATCGTATGTATCGTAAAAAATTTCTACATCTACATCAACGTGGTCCCCACGAATGGGTTCCTTTCACATCGATTTCATCAACACCGTTGAAGTTGAACTTGCCCATCGTAGTATCTCCATATAGACGCAGCTGTGATCCAGATTGATCCCGATTTCAATGCGATGGCTACACCGATCGATCGATCGATTATCGGAAATAAATGATACAGAGAAAGTACAAGCTGTCAGCCGTCGGACCGGAAACTACGTACGCCTTCGAACCATATTGATCATCTATTTGCAAGAATCACGTCTGGGTCCCACATCTAAATCTCACGGTTCACATCATGTTTGCACCTAAACACTTACTTCCCGAGTCTAATCTGCCGTTGATTATGTTTTATTATAGATACAAAACTATCTAATAACACCGTAAGTCATTTCCGAATTCCGAGTCTTAATCCGCCGGTCGGTCCCACACTAGAATGAATAAGGTGCGTAGATTAGGTTCTTCACATGGTGGTTTGGCGTGATGCCAATACAAGTATGGGCATTGTTTATATTTTTAGTAAAGGTAATGATAATGATTGGTCCCATACGTAAACCTAAGCCTATACCATAAGCATCCATCAAGATCAACCTCCTTATCCTTGAGGGTGACCATTACCTGTCGTCGGAGGGTGAGGGTGACCCACTTCTGATGAAAGACACATGTCAAACATCTAAGAATAACTCTAACGATCCTACGAACGGGCTTCATGGACGGACTACTACGTCCAGAACGGCGCTTATATAAACTAGTCAAAGTTCCAATCCTATCAATATGGTAAAATGAGATTAAACTATCCAAATCAGATCTAAAGCTTTAATTTTCTATTGCTCGATAATCAAGGTAGGCCCCACGCCCGTCCCCCCCATCTCGTGCCACTTTCGTCGCGTTGCCCCGCGTACACGAGCAGCTGTCGAGGTAGAGTTTGCCACGTGTAACTCATTATGTCGGTTCCACGTGGAAGCTTCCTCGGATTCTTTTCTTATCAAATGAAAAATACAAGGACATCGAAAGCAAGTTACGGAACTACCCCTACTGACCTGACGACACTCGACACTCCATTTTAGGTAACCAACGGCTCAGTTGACAGTCCCGTAGTTCTCATTAATTAGAAGGATAGTTTAGTAATTTAAGTTAGACTTTATTAATTGCTACCTGGTATTTTCCGACAATATATATTGCTGTGTATGTTGCATGCCACAAAATCCAATGACCGTATATACGAAAGGGATACGATGCCCGTACACATATACAAAATATACTCGTAGTTGTCTCGACAGAATCCCTGAAACTCGAAACCTGTGTTTTTTCTGCTCTCTGCATTTTGGAGCAGATCGTAAGCTCTATCTCTAGTCTCTACCGCACTCGGGAGCTCTTCCGGAGCTGCAATCGCGGCAGAGTCTTGTTGGAGGAGATGAAGACATCCAACAGAAGTCAGTTTCCGGCGAAAATACCGGCAATACTCTATTCAAAAACCCTAAATCCATCACCGGATTCGGATCTTCAAGAGAAATGTAGCGATCGGAAGCCCCAGCGGAGGAAAACCAGAAACCCTGGATTTTCTGCTGCTGGATTCCGGCTGAAGAAAGACGGAACTCCAGGTGGGAAGAGGAGTGGACCTGCTACTCCCCTCTTACGGTGGAAGTTTGACGACGGTGATTTCACTGTTGGAAACGATAAGGGGCCCGAGTCTAGTCGGAAAGGTCGACGGAAAGTGAAGAGCAGTGTAGAGGTTTCTCTTTCGGCCAGGAAGCTCGCTGCCGGGCTGTGGCATTTGCAGCCGCCTGAGGTTTCCGGAGCCGGAGGTACAGGAGAATGCCGTGCTCTGCAGAAGAGGCCATCCAATAAAGTTGGGCTTGAGGTATTTCGATATCGATGTTGTTTATTCATGATCCGTCCTTCTTTTGGTTCCGTGAAGAGAATTTTAGTAAACGTTCCTTATTTAAAAGTGACGGTTCGACTTTCCTCAGTGCGGCTTACTGCATATTCTATTCTGTGTTCCTTTTGATCCTCGTTTTATAGGGTTTTCAAGGATAGTCCGAACACCGTAACAAGATTAGCTTGTAATATCTGTGTTCGGCTTGTTAAAATGGTGTCGTTTAACATCTTTCAGGCGTGTATGCAGCAGATTTCAAATATACTATTTTAATGAAATATCCTCCCAAGATCAGAATTTTCTAGGGTTCAGGATTCCAAATCTGTTTACAGTACTTTTGTATTCTCTCGGTGAACAGAAATTTCTGTTTAGGTTGTCGATTACATTTCTATAGATTGCAATGGATTCAGTTGCTGGGATTAAAAATTTTCCGTTTCGTTTCTTTATCTTTTGTTCTTCGCTTTGTTTTCGTCGATATAATTCTTGATTTGTTAACATCTCACGACTTCGCGAATTTACTTGTGTACTGCATTTCCCAATGATTCAATGGTTAAAGGGATCTGAACGACGTGCCTTTCTTTGAAACTTGAGTATCTGTTCTCATCGTTTCCTTTTCTGCTGCAGCCCGGCAATGGGCATGTAGGAGTCCCTTTTCTCTGTCATCGCAGTAACAAAGAGTATGGTGCAGAAGCAAAGGATCTGTTGCAGAGCCCCGTTTCTGTCGATGGTCCAAAGAATGGAATTCTGTATAAGGTATCAACATCTTTTTATTTTTTTTTGTTTTTCGAAAGCTTAACATCTTTTTATTTGATTTTTCATTTTACTGATCAATTGATCCTGATCAGTTGGGATGGGAACAATACTGACTTACTGAGGTATGGATGGGAGGACTAGGAAATGTTTTCCAACTTCCCATCGTGTGCCCTACGTGTATTAAACGATCAAGGCACTACGTGGGACCCACAATTCAGTAGGGTCCCACATAGAAGATATCGATATCAAGGATTGATCCTGCGGTTGATCCTCTCGCGTCTAACATATTCTCTTGGCCAGTTGGAGAATAAGGCATTCTGATTTCTGGCCCATCAAATGCCCATTATATGTTTTTGATCAAACAGTATTTTGAGGCATCCAAAATGAATGCCACTCGGTAGCTAATAGTAATAGACTAATAGCTTTTCTATTATCTCTTTATTTTTTCCTGTTTTGATTATTTACGTTATCTGATCTTAGACCATTTTGTTTTCCCCCTCTTGTCTAGCTCCAACCTTCCTTACAATTTCCTAATTCTGCAATGGAGGGAGCAACAAAATGGGATCCTGGGTGCTCTAAAACATCAGATGAGGTTTACCAGTTTTATGGCCGAATGGGACTTCTTGAAGACCAACAGGCTACCACTGTATCTGTCATATCTACTCTGCAAGCAGAACTTGAGCAGGCTCGGAATCGGATTCAGGAGCTTGAGTCTGAGCGCCGGTCCTCAAAGAAGAAATTGGAGCACTTCTTAAGGAAACTTGCAGAGGAAAAGGCTACATGGAGGAGTAGAGAACATGAGAAGATCCGCACTATAATTGATGATATGAAGGATGACTTGAACAGGGAAAGGAAAAACCGTCAAAGGATGGAAATTGTTAACTCAAAATTGGTCAACGAGCTAGCAGAGGCCAAGCTATCTGCAAAGCGGTTTATGCAAGATTATGAGAAGGAGAGAAAAGCCAGAGAGCTAATGGAGGAAGTCTGTGATGAGCTTGCAAAGGAAATTGGAGAAGACAAGGCTGAAGTTGAAGCATTGAAGAGGGAATCGATGAAAATTCGTGAGGAAGTGGACGAGGAGAGAAAGATGTTACAGATGGCTGAGGTCTGGCGTGAAGAAAGGGTTCAGATGAAGCTGGTTGATGCAAAATTAACACTAGAAGCGAAGTATTCACAGATGAGCAAGCTTATAGCAAACCTGGAGGCTTTTCTGAGATCAAGAAGTGCAACTCCAGATGTGGTGGAGATGAGAGAAGCAGAGATGCTTCGAGAGGCAGCTGGCTCAGTAAAGATTCAAGATATCAAAGAGTTTACTTATGAGCCCCCAAACTCAGAGGACATCTTTTCTGTTTTTGAAGATCTCCAACCGGGAGAAGCTAATGAAAGGGAGATTGAACCATGCGTAGGTTATAGCCCTGCTAGTCGGGCTTCCAAAATCCATACTGTGAGCCCTGAGGTCAATGGGTTGAATAAAAGTTCCATGCAGAAGCATTCAAATGGATTCATTGAACAAAATGGAGAGATAGAAGAAGATGGGAGTGGCTGGGAGACAGTGAGTCATGCTGAGGATCAGGGCTCAAGTTATTCCCCGGAAGGGAGTGATCCTTCTGTTAACAGGATGCACAGAGACAGTAATGTATCTGAGAGTGGAACAGAATGGGAAGATAATGCAGGTCATGATACCCCGAATACTGAAATAAGTGAAGTTTGTTCTGTATCAGCAAGGCCCACGAAGAAGGCATCATCCATAACCAGACTTTGGAAATCATGCCCCAGTAATGGAGAAAACTACAGGATAATCTCAGTTGAAGGGATGAAAGGAAGGATTTCAAATGGAAGAATTTCTAATGGGGGGATTGTTTCACCAGAAGTAGGGTTAGGTGAAGGTGGGCTCAGCCCTCCAAGTTTGATGGGGCAATGGAGCTCACCTGACTCTGGGAATCCACACATAACTCGAGGGATGAAGGGGTGCATTGAATGGCCACGGGGCATCCAGAAAAATAGTTTGAAGGCAAAGCTTTTGGAGGCAAGAATGGAAAGCCAGAAAGTCCAATTGCGCCATGTTCTTAAACAGAAGATTTAAATGAACCAAGTTGCAGGAGGAAATATTCATAATTCTGGTTCGAGAAAGCTTGCTCAACGTAGCTTACAAATAAAACCAGATGGAGATAAGCAACAAAGTTTCTGGTGGAGTTGTAAGTACCATAGAGGATTGTTGGGGAAGCTGCAAAGATCACGGACCTGATGCTGTAGCTGGTTATCCATCTTTTGGTCTCATTTGGTCAACTGCATGAAAAGAATTTCTTCTCATGGTTTTTTGTCTGCCTGCATATTACCTTAAACCTGGCAAGATCGGTAATTTTCCCCATCATGAGCAAGCCATAGGTTTGAGTGGGGCAAGCAATTCAGGAGCAAGCTATGCAATCCGTATTGTATTACTTATGCACATTGATAAAGCAACTAAGAAATACAATTTGACACCATTCTCTTCTCTGTATGTTATAAGAAACTCTACTGTATAATTTGGATATGTCGGAATGAATTTGACTGGGAAATTTTCTGGGATCATCATAAGAAGGGTACTTGTTCACTCTCTCCCTCGTGTGTATGGCATTTTTTTTATTTTATTTTTTGTGGAAACTCTGTTTATATGCATTAGGCTTTTTAGAGTAACATTATCTTGCTTATTGAAAGAGAATAAAAATAAAATCCCTAATTGTGCAGAAGGGAATGGATGCCCAGGTTGATATGTCATGATACCAAGTTGTTCTTCTATCTATGACATGCATAGTTGGAAGGGGAGCATTGTCTACCCAAAGAACCAAACACTACATCTCCTTGTTTACAATATGCGTGTTTTGTGGAATGGAGGAGTCGTCTTATAATGGTACTTGCTTTACTTGAATGCTATGAGTATGCTCCTTGTCGTCGTGATTGACATGTTCTTCAGGGGACAAACATGGCTCGAAGAGTTCGTTCTAAGTGGCTAGAGCCTAGAGGTCCGTTCATTGTACAGGGAATGAAAAATAGCCTTTGCTGCCATCGTCTATGTCTATATCCCCTATCCCTATTGGCAGAATGAATCAATGAAATAGAGACCATGTTTTGGCAATTAGCTAGCTACTTACCCAAGAAAATCCACTGATCAATGGTTTTGGATACGAGCAAGCCTAAGGGCATCATCTAGCACTGTAGATTCAAGATTCCGTAATCTGACACATAACACGTCTTCATAGAATTGAATTTGAGTTGGAGGTTGGAGCTGTAACCTTAGCTGAACTTTAAACGCTTCTGGTGTCCCTGTACAGTGAAACAATTATCATTACTTTTTAGGGTTCACGGAAACACCAGAAAAGCTCCCCACTTCCCGTGACGCCATTATCAAACATCACCTCCGTATCTTTTTCTCCCTTTCTCTTGGGCTATGCTTGTTTGTTTTGATGCGGAGATACCGTACCCAACAGCGGGTAGTCTGTTCCCCTACCTACTCATAAGCTACCATCCCTGGTGATAGCAGGATTTGATCCCAACTCTCCGCCACAACCAGTCGGAGACCTTATAAATTGAGCCAGTTGGTACCATGTTTGTTTGAACGTGAGATTGATGGAAAGATTTTCAGGTGACGACGGTTTCGTTTGCAATTTGCATTGTAAAAGGGATGGAAATAAAAAATCTTGAGAGAAATTTTATGTCTTTCTTATGGAGAAAATAGCGCAACTTGAATGATGATATCTTTTCCATCTATGACCTATGCCTATCTTTTTCATCAACAACCCATCATCACTTGTTTATTGTTCGTAATTACATCTCAATTTTCTTACCACTTACAAGTGATTAGAAATCCCTTTTACCATTACTTTTAAGGCTCCATTTGTTCTAAACTTTTGAGATGAAAATGCTTTTCAGCATTTTGGATCAGACAAAAAATGATAATTTGCTTAAAATTAAATAAAAAACTTTTCATGAAATTCCAAGCATAAGCAGAAATGAATAGGACCCCCACACCCCTGGTTGGAACTTGGGATTCGAAATTCCGCGTTGTTGGAATTCATTTGACCCAAGACCTCCGTTCTTCTGCCAGGGTATGTTTTGGTGGGTTCCACCTAACTGGGCCCTCTGATTTCTAGGATCCATTCTCGAAATGTTTGCCTCACTGGAACCTTCACTTTCTAAGTCGCTCCCGGATATATATATATATATACACAAACAGAGATTTGAAATGCATACGGATAAGGATGAAAATCCAACTCAACTGACTATTCTTTTGTACATATTGCAAATAGAATTCCACAGAAGACCATATGGTAAAAGAGGAGTTCAACTGATTACTATTCTAATTATGTTCAGTCGAGAATCTCAGAAGTGGGCTCTCGAAAGGGTTGTCCTGCTCTTGTGGGAGTCGTCCAACAACCAACACAGGAGTGAGGAGAGGCCACGCCCCAGAGAAAACTGAAGATGCATGGTACTCCTCCTCGGGCCGGGGACCAGTGACTGTGAGCCAAAGTGGGCTCTCCCAAGTCCCAAAGCATCAAAACAATTTGAAACGTGAAAGTTGGTGGACAAGTTGATTAAGTATGGGCTAAAAGCTCCCCCACAACAAATTAAAACATCTGTCGCTTTCCCTTTCAAGCCTTTGTATGATATATAACTATACTATGATGGAGCAATCTGCATGGCCTGGTCCCACATTTGGAACGTCTGAAGCTTTGGTTGAGGAGCTACTTTTACTTTTACTGATCCCCTTTTTAAGAAGCTGCTAAAATAAGCTTCATTGGAAAGCCAACCTTTTTTTTTTTTTATTGAATGATGGCATAATTGGACTTTTTTGCTTTTATATCAAACAACTAATAAAACTTATAGACGGTTTGTCTGTATGAGGCCCACCCCGCAAAGCCAGAAGCAGCCACCGGAAAGCCCTTGTTCTAAAATGGACACTCAAGCGTTGCGTTATGACCCAGTTTTGGAATCTACAGGGGGAAAGGAAAAGCTGTTAATGGTCACAAGAATCCCACCTGGCCACTCTGCCAATTCACTTTGGCGAGAAGTGAGAAGAAAATTGCATTCACCGTGGAATTAATGAGATTAGCAGTCGGCAGTCGGTCGGGCCAAGAACAGAGCATATATACTGAGAGTTGGTCCAGGACTGAAACAGATACTGTCCCACTACCAAGTGAGAGAGGCAGGCTGGAAGACAAAGCGACAAACAAATGAGAGTCTGTAGGGTGGGCCAAAAACCAAAACGCCCATAATTTACCCTCTACACAGTTCTCAATAGCAGTTCGTATATTCTTCCATTATTACTTTTGTGATATAAGGAAATTTGTTTCGTTACTGTGGTGGAGAAGATGTTACACCGAGGATAAAGAGAGATGGGTGGCCTCAACTCAATTCCACTCCCTCCCTCTCTCTCTCTCTCTTAACTCATTCACTCTCGTTTAGTCGTTTATCTAAAAGGTTGAAGAAGCACGTACTTTAGACGACAGAGGCGAAAGGCGAGGCGAGGCGAGGCGAGATGAGGCGAAGCGACTCTTTTTTTTGGGGGGTCACCATTCACCACCTTTCACCTTTCAACATATGCAGGACTGTCGGGTAGTGTGTGTCATTGATTCCTCCACAATCAAAGGAAAGAGGAAAAGGGCTTAAATTAAGGTGGCATTTGATAATGTTGAATCGAGATATGAAGTCTGAAAATTTTGCATTTCAGATTTTGGGGTCTCCTTTCAAATGCCACTTTAAAATAAGATTTGATTTGAATCGAAAATTTAGATATGTTTTATCTTATTAATTAAGTTGGTGGCACATTACAAAACGCAACCAGACACATTTCAAACATGGCCATTTACTAATTTGCTCTCCCAACTTTTAACAAATTCCATCAGGTACCCCTCATTTAACTTGAGAAGGAATCCCATTTAATTTCTTCCTCCTTTATTTTCAAACTTGTGCCCACCGCTGTTTATCATTGCCAAATGCCAACCATATATAAACAGGTAAGATTTTTATTACGACATCAAAACACGTGCTGATTCAATAACACGTGCTAGTTAGTTTCCCCAGTTGGCGCTTTCTTGATCTTGCCACTTGCTCGGCAAGCATCAACTGTAATTATAAATACCCCATGTTTGTATACATGAGATATAAATGAAGGTTTCTTTTGTCTCTGACTTCGAGTCATATTAGGATCTCTGCGTTCCCCAGACTGCGATAAAGTCACATTGGAAGCTCTGTGTTCTCAAGCCTGTGATAGAGAGTCTCCGCCGCTTCATCGTAATTTCATTTTTGTCAACTTTCGTCGTCATTTTGGAGTTCATCGTTTTTTCATTCTTCATTTATTCTATACATTTTACCATGTTCATCTTTCTTATTTTAGTTTTTGCGCAAACCATACAGTTTGGAGACCTAGATTCATCGCCCCATCTGGGAACAGTTATCTTTCACTACTCTTCCTCATTTTTTCTTATTCCGTTCATTTCATCCTTGTAACTTTCCTTCTCATTGTTGCGCTTTATGTAACCCAGTTGCATATATAGTGCAATTACATTTCTAGAATGTACTAAGCAGTAGTTGGTTATTGTTATCTGCATTTTTATATATGCATACAATATTTCATCACAATTTTTCTTAGTATTAGCAAAATTTTATAGACTTTTCTTTCATTTTTAACATTATTTCATTGTTATAAGATCTATTTCAATTTCTTTATATTTGGACACATTTTAATGTAACTTTTGCCAATTTTTTTTGGATTTTTAAACTATTTTATACTCTCCTTGTATTTATTTTTACTTTTTATTTATCTATAATAAATAAAAAAGAAACCATAATTTTTTCAAACATTTAAAGTAGTTTTTGCTTTTTTACTTTATTAGTACTATATTTAATCATTTTAATTAATTATTAATGATGTTGCACGATCTGGGCACTCCTAGCACCTGAGAGGAAAGAGAAGGTGAAGGGTTCCCGGGGAATTAGAGTTTTTTTATGTCGAGCCCGGTCATACCTGGCATAACCGCCACCGCCCTAGTCGTTACTGTCAGGGTAGGTGTGGCAGGCACAGGTTGTTGCTACATACTATCATTGCCAGGTACGAGCTCGACAGATGTGTCATGCTTTCCAGAGACGGCAAACAAAACGCCGCTTGCTGCCCTGAGGTGCTCCTCCCTCGAGACATAGCCAAAAACCGGGGTGCTCCCTCCTTGGGAAGGGAGAGCTCGGGCCCCAGGGGGAGCTCAGGACCTTCCACACTTGGTGGGAGTCAAAACTGGCCAGGTGTCAGTCCCCGACGAGTTGCTTAACTTGCCGAGTGGCTAACGTTGGACTCGGCGTGTCTCTCCCGTCGAGTCCTGGTCGTGCTGTCAGGCTGAGCTGTTCATTGGGCCAGGTCACACACACGTGTCCCCGGACTACGAGGTCAGGCCAAATTGCCCTTCATCAATTAATTTTTTATTTTTAATAATATTCAATGCAACTATTAAATTCTTGGATAAAAGTTGTCTATTGTTATAAACTTATAGTCCACTATATTTTTTGAGACATTTTAAAGTAGTAGTTGCTATTTTTCAATTTTTAATACAATTTCTAATAAAGTTTGTG